GTGCTGGACACAAATAAAGTCTGAATGGGAGCTCTGATCTTCGGATGTTTTCAGCAGGCAGGACAAAGCTGTCCTCTTCAGACATACCGTGACTGTCCACACAATCTGCAGTACACAGTTTTTACTTAATTGTACTTCTGGACTGCCGAGCACAAAGAGGTACAGAAATAGCTATCGTCAGGTGAGCTGAATGGCTTTTTTACCAACCATCCTTGATTCTACCCATGGGGCTGTATTTCTCCCATCAAACTTGCCTGCTACGGAGCTACAATAATATAGGGTCTAAGTTCCCATCCCGGACCACGCAATTCAGATTACAGCAAAAAAATTTTAGAAATCTAGACAAATGCAAATCACATGTTCATTTATTTATTTGGTGTTTATCTTATTTGGACTCAAGATCTCATAGTTCTCTAAGAATTCCACTGGCGGAATTCTGGGACTTTCAGCCCACTGGCAGCCAAGCCTACAGATATAAGCCTTGCTTCCTGTCTCAGGCCATGCTTCCTGTCCAAAAAGGAAACTGCCTTGTTGCTTCCTGGAAGGCGTAGGCCTTTGTGGGAGGCATAGTTCTTGGCTGGTGATAGTAATGGGGAAACTTCTAGAGAGCCTAATGGGCTGCAATACCACATTTCACACAAACGAGGCCTCCCAGGAAATACTGGGGCCATTTCCTTTTTTGAACAGGAAGCAAAGCCTGAAGTAGGCCTAGTCTGGGTGAGTGAAATGTGGATGTTTGCCTGTGGGCTCGAACTCTCCGAATTCTGCTCGGGGAATTATTGGAAAATTCGGAGAGCTGGAGAGCAAAGAAACAAAATAGTCACAAGAGCAAACAATGGCATGTCACACTATGCACCATCCTGGAAAACAGGTGTCATTTGTACCTGATTACATTTTTCTTTCACCTTTCTGCTCTGGCAATGGGAAGGGTTATTTCCCATCCCAGTACTCACGTTAGTTTTTCTATATCACAGTGCAACCATAAAATAGGACTTTCTTTTTGTTCATAATCCATTATGGGGTGGGGTGGGGGAAATAGCCAAATGGAAACAAATGCAATAGAGTAAATCTGTCAGTTTAAATTGTATTTAAAAAAAATATGTTGCTTCTAGTGTTCTGCTTTCGCACTGATTCAAATTTTCACAATGTCTTGTCAATTCGACGCTATTTCACTTGCTAGGCATTAAAAAAAGAGAGGACTTTGCTGGCAAAAGGGGTGGGTAAAAGGGTAATGATGATAATGGCAGAGAAGAGGGAGAGGGGGGTTATATAAATTGCAGACACTTCAAACATACCTTTCCAGGGTAATCAAAAATTTCTGTGTGAACTATAACAGGGTACAGCACAGAGATTTTTGTGTCAACTTGAGACCATTCCCCATGTGTTTGTACCCACATGCTCAGACCTATTCCTGTCCCATGTAGTCCAGTTTCATGTGACCTGGTTGTAATCAATACGGCAGCAATGTCCCATTTGCCAATATTGCTAATCACAGCAGATCCAGAACATCTATCTCAAGATTTTTACAGGTGGCTCCTCACCTTTTCCTTCTTGCGACAGTGCTGCTTATTGGTGGGAGTCCCATTCTGCATCTGTTAATCAGATGCACACAAACACACACAGAGAAAGAGAAACATATATACACAGGCAGAAATGGCTCAACAAAAACAAGATAGTGGTTGTTGTGGGTTTTTCGGGCTTCTTGGTGTCCAGCTGTTTGCTGTCCTCTGAAGATGCCGGCCACAGAGACTGGCGAAACGTTAGGAAGAACCACCTTCAGAACACGGCCAAGAAGCCCGAAAAACCCACAACAACCATTAGATCCCGGCCGTGAAAGCCTTCGCGAATACAAAAACAAGATAATTTGTGTAAATGATTGTGCAATCATTTACATTTATAATTTTAAAAAATTGCTATAACTTGAGTCCTTTAAAGGAGAAAGACAGTTAATTTTTTTAAAATAATTAAATAATAATCAGAGTGGCCTTGGCTGCCAAATGAGTGGTATAAAAATCAAATAAACAAACAAAGGAACAAATAAATAAATCTATTTCATTGTTGTTTTCCTGGTGACCTGTATGCTTTCCCATGTTAATGGCCAACTTTTGGATCTGACATATTCCTCACTCGATTCTCAGCTATATTTAGAGCCTGCCTTTCCTCCGATGAGTGGAAGACCGTGTACATGGCTCTCCTCCTAAACTCCTCTTACAATAACCCTGTGAGGTGCGCCAGGTTGACATTGAGCAAAAGGTCCAAGGTCATCGAGAGGAAGACCGTGTACATGGCTCTCCTCCTAAACTCCTCTTACAATAACCCTGTGAGGTGTGCCAGGTTGACATCGAGCGAAAGGTCCAAGGTCATCGAGAGACAGTGGGGAGTTAGGTAGATCACAGTTTTCATACCTAAACCCCTCAGGGAAGGCTTGTTCTTCATAATAATTATTTTTGCACAAACATCATGACCTCGTACAATGACTTTTATCCTTCCTTCAATGGCTGAAGACTCAGTCAGGCTTTTAACAATCCTGCTTGAGTCCCAGAATATCCTTTAAAAATTAAGATAGTTTTTAATGTTTACTTGCTTCTGATTATTGTATTTTAATTAACATACAGTTTAATTGTTTTCTAATGTTTAACCTATGTTTTTAATATTGTGAGCCGCCTTGAATCCCCTTATAGGGAGAATAGTGATGATGATGATAATGATGATGATGGCAATATTACAAAATCACTAACAAGTGATGAAAATTATATATACCTTGGAATACTAGAAGCATATAACATAGTGCACACAAAAGTTAAAGAACTGTCAGAAAGAGAATATATCAAAAGATTGTGGATTACTTCAAATACAGCAGGTAGTAGAGGAGGAAAAAAGAAGGCTAATCAGTACAGGCAGAGAAAAATTACTTAAGGCAGTGAAAATTGAGAATATTTTGAAAACCACAGAAACAAAGGCTCAATATAAGAAACAACAACTTGAAAATAAATCAAACATCTGGAAAAATGAACCACTACATGGACAACACCTGAGAAATATTGATGGAAAACATAATAATTATTCAACATGGGCATGGCTAAAACTGGGGACCCTTAAGTAAGAAATTGAAGGCTTGATTTTTGTTGCAGAAGAACAAGTACTCCAATCCATCGTGAGGAAAGCTAAGATCCAAGGAATTAGTGCAAGCAGCAAACGTTGACTCTGCCAAGAAAAAGATGAAACTGTGCCACAGCTCATCGGGAAATGTCCAAAGATGGCACAAACAAATAAAGTTAGAAATGAGTGGTCATTATGCAAAAATTATAACGTGCTGTTCTCCAAAAACCCACGGGAATATCAGGTAGAGAAGCGGTCAGAAAATTATAGTATGACATCAAGATCTTGTGGGATTTCTGGATCCAAACAGACACCTTGGACTTAACACACCAGACATAGTAGTAACAGAATGAAGAAATGACCGGATCATTGACCTTGCAATTCCAGGGGATGGCAGAGTTCAAAGTAAAGAATTGGAAAAACTAACAAAGGACCACACTTTGGTGGTTCCCATTGTCATTGGGCTTTGGGAATACTATCAAGAAATTTCACACCATCAGAGCTACCAAAAAAAAGGGCAATATTAGGAACAACATACATACTGCCCTGATACAGTATTTAACAGATACTTAGGTTTTTGGTTAAAACTTGTATCTGTTATATAATACCAGTCAATATATTTATAAATTTTACTGTGCCTGGTATTTTTTTTAATAATAATGTAATGGCTGTGTCTTCTCTTCTAATCCACAATAACAATTTTTTGTTCCTCAAACTGAGTCCATTTGCTGCAATTTTATTGTCAACAACACAGTAAAAATAACACGTTTGTCTCTTTAAGAAAGGCCTGCCCCGAAGAAGAAGATTGGTTGTTGATTTGGGGATGGAGTCGTGCATCAGCAAATCAGAATAGGCCGGAGGGAGAGGCTTAAAGAGAGTAGCCAATAGGAAGATAGTGCCGCCCTATAACAAAAACAGCACATTCCTTAGCAAAATACCTAGTTAAAAGGCAAAGGGAGCTCTCGAGGAAGGTGGCACCTCTTTGTGAAAGGCAGCCAATGGAAAGATCGGGGAGGCGGGGAGGGAGGCGTGGTTTTGTACCCAATGGTAATAGAAATAGAGGCAGGTGGGGCCTCCGAGGTCGAGCGTGGCCAATGGGAGGAGACGTCTGAGAGGACATGTGCGTGTCACATGGCGACGGGAAACCCAATGAGGGAGGCGAGGCGGAGAGTGACGATGACCCGACCAATAGGCTGAGGAGGCGGGTCCCGGAGAGATTGCCCAAGGCCTTATATGTATCTATGGGCGGAGGCGAGCAGGAGCGTCGCCCCGGCCGTGCGCGGAGGAGGCGGGGGAGGGGGCGTGGCTTGTCGCGGGGCGGGGCCTGCGGCAGGGACCTGCTCGTTGAGCTCCGTGGGGCTGAGGGGGCCGTCACAAAAGGAAGCGGCTCCGGGAGCGCGGGAGCCCTGCTGCGGGTGGCGCCCCCACCGGGGAGGGTTCCGGGAGAGGAGCCGAAAGGAGGCCGCCTCAGCGAAACCCCTTCCTTCTTTCCTTCCGTGTCGGAGGAGGAGGAGGAGCGCGCCGGGCGGAGGCCGCTGAGGGGACGCCTCACACCGCCAGAGGCCTCCGGGCCTGGGCCTGGCCGGAGCTTGCTCGCTCGCCGGCGGAGGAGGCGGCTGAGGAGGAGGAGGAGCAGCAGCTTTTTTTCCCCCTTCCTGACCGGGGGCCCCACCACCCCCCCCACCAGCCGCGTCTCCTCTGA